AAATGATTTAAATTCAATTTTCAGAAGAATTTTAAAGTAACTGATTATTACGTAAATGCATAGTTTCCTTGATATGAGATCCCTATCAGTACTATTTTTCGGTACTTCATTAATTTTTAACATTTTTATATCCCCCTTGTCTTTGGTCAGCAAAAATAAAAAAAAAATTAACCCTTATCCCACCCTTCAAGTTCAATTTCCACAATATTTTAATCCCCTCCTTTCCAGTTTTCCACCGAAAAAAGAAACAATTCATGCGCATTCGATTGTTTTATTTAATTGCCTAAAAAGGCTTTCATACCTACAAAAAACAGTAAATGTAAATCAACAAAGCAAAACGGCACATTTTAATTTTCATCATACATATCGAACAATACACCTTCACACGACCGTACGATCACACACAGTTGCATTAGTCAAGGTGTTTGAAAGACGGAGACGGCACGTGCTTGAAGTAGATGCACCTGCCCCTCTAAAGGTAAGCGCCACATGTCGATATGCTAATAATGTGATTGACTCGCTCCTCGTCTACCGGCAACCGTTTGTTTTGTACATACTCCACGACTACCGCGAGACTTGCCAATTTTTCTGCATACTTTTACCGGCTAATGGGCGTTTAGTACACACACTGTTTGTATGTTACTGTTCTCAATATGCGTATTAGTAGGTAGCATTCGTAGCAGTAGTATTAGTACTAGTTGTAGTAGTCGTGTTGTTATTATTTGCTAGGCACCTCTTTGCCACCAGGCACACATGGTTCGTGATACTTCTATACAGCAAAACGAATTTGTTTGGGCTTTGAAATCGCTTAAATCGCGTACTGTTTGAAAACTGTAGTACCCATGAGTACCAGTACCTAGCAGTGAACAAAAATACAGGGTGATTGAGTGACAACCGCGTTTGAAAATTTCACTTTTCGGTTAAAGATTGTGGAAAACTTGTAAGAGATGCGTGAGATGCTGTAAAGGCAATTTAAAAGATGTTTGCTTAAAAAAAGTTTGGTAAATGTCTAGATAATGGGATCGAAAGAGGAGGTCTCCCCCACCACTGTACCATAAAAAGTTGATTATTTTGACAATTTTCATACACCATAATTGAAATAAAATTCAATAAAAAAAATATTTTCAGGCGGGTGGAGGTGGGGGATCGAAAAACAAAACCCGATAACCTAACCTAACCTAACATAACCTACCCTATTGATAAAGATATTTAAATAATATTTTATATAACTTTCTCAATATTTTTATGTATTTTTCCATTAGTTTTACCTTTGAATATTGTTTAAGAATGACTATATAAATATTTACATGCCTAGAAATGTATAAAAATTGGCATATTTATTAACTTTGAACCCCTATANTATATATCTTTCTCAATATTTTTATGTATTTTTCATTAGTTTTACCTTTGAATATAATAATGACTACATAAATATATAAAAATTCGTCTTTCGATCCCCCCCCCCAACCCCACCAAAAGTTTTTACCTTGAAATCGTACAACATTCAGTAATAAACTGACAAAAAATAAAATGTTAATATAAAGTACGGAAGTGTTGTTTAGGTCTACCTTCAACGTCCAGAATCCATTAATTAATGGTTAGCATTTTGACGTATTCTGTTTGGAAATAAACAGATGGAAAAAGTCAGCGGGACTAAATGTCTCTATCCTGTTGTTGGTTGCATACATTATGAAAATGTCGCCGAGTTTAAAAATGTAATTACTGTACACCAGCGTTAAGGGATACCTCGTCCAAATTTAGACAGACTCAGTTAAGTAGCCTTAATATATCCGAAGAAGAGTTCGTAAAGGTGCAACTCCCCCCTCCACCCCATAAATTACAGTGACTACATACTAATACAGATTTAGATTAAAACTACCTGATTTCAAATAATGTCCAATCTAGTATTAGTAAATTTTCACCACCATTAAAGCAAAACATAATAATTTTATGCTATGATGCGCGACATGTATAAAAAATGGCAACTACATTTAATATAATTGTTTAATATAACATCGACAATGTATTATTACTTCAAATGGATTACATGGAATTTGAATTTTGAAATAAACAATTCATATATTTACAGTCAATTTTTACTGCGAGAAGATCAGACATCTGCATAAGCAAAAAAGGAACTGCACTCCATCACAAGTTATGGAATTCCTTGTAAATATTGTTTTTGTAAAAATCAAACGAGAAAACATTCTAAAATTGATTATACATTTACTTCATATAGCCTCTACCTGATGCAGATATTGAATAAGTAGATGATTTATATTGATTTATAAGGCAAAAACAATCATAAATGCATCACATTTACTGCTCATAGTTACTTAGTGAATAGTTGAATCGAATAAACACGGGAAATTGGAAATTAATCGCAACACAACAGTAAAACCCAATGTACCACATGGAGACTCCAACGATGCGTCAAGCGAGTAACCCGCTTCGTCTCTTACGCATTATTGTAAGCAGATCCGACTTTTTCTACGCTGTGTGCCAATTGATTGCTACTGCTGGTTCACAACCGTATTAATATCATTCCATGTCATTTATTAAAGATAAAATTTCATAAAAAGACCATTCTTAAATATACGCAAACATCGATTAAAAACGTAATTACAAATTTTTCTTAACTCTTAGTATCTATCACGATAAACTATAACAAGTATCTATCTAGAACGTTTGTAGAAGTTTGTTTCGAGGCGAACAAAAAGTACTTCTTGAAATATTTGTCCATTATTTTATATTGTGTCTAAAAGGACCCCACTAGATCCTTACGAAAAACGAAACCATGGCATATCCGTAATATGTAATACACATAGTATAATCCACCAAGATATGCATATATGTATACTTTAACGTTTTCAGTACTTATAATAGATATAATTGTACCTTGGAAGTCCTTTCGAAAGAATGCAATTTAAAGGAACCACATCTCAAGAAGCTGAGCCGACGGGACTTGAACTTTAACGAAACTCTTGTACAAACTAGAGTGGGTAGATCGGCTTGCGAGTTTTGATGATTTAGGGAGCCGAGCCATAGATTCAACCATGATGGGGGGTTCTTAAAGAGAAACTAGACAAATACAAGTCCCTGAAAGAGGGCAGAAGCTCTTTCAGTACTCAGGGTGGCAGAGATCAGGAGGATCGGTATGGAACTCTAATGTACAATTCTGCGATTTATATCACATTATGATATCACATTATGATATCCCAAGTAAAACACATCGAAACTAAATGAAAGCGTCCTCTGGGGTAAAGCACTCCGGACGTAAACTAGTCCTCCTTTTGGACGTCCTGGAGGGGACTACCTCGGGGCATGTCATTTATAAGTGCAATAAAGGTAGGTGCAATACTTCACGAGTAGGGGCGTGGAATGTTAGGGCAATGAGGCAAGTGGGGAAATTGGAAAATTCAAGAGGCAGAAACGGAAGTTAGGAGGGGTAGAGGTAGACCTAGATTAGATTACTCTTCGCAAATAGTTAAGGATATGGGACGTTCTAGTTTTAGGGAAATGCGAAGATTCCTTCAGGATAGGAAAGAGTGGAGGTGTGTGTCCAAGCAATCTAACGACTGAAGACCTTATGATCATAATCTCAAAAAGATGAGTTTTCAGGACTTAGCGCCCATTGAGACTTTTGATCTACATGTCGAGAACTACTAGAATCCAATGTTTTAAACAATCTGACGGAGTGTCACTTTCTCTAAGGATCTAGCAGGGTCCTTTTGATCAATGTTATTGAGAAATTACGATTTCTCTTAAAACCAGTATCACAAAATATCATTTTTATGAGTTTAGCAAGGATTTTTGTATGGTCATCTTCTTGTACCACGACTACTGTAACAATAAATAAGCCAACAAACAGAGTTCTATCGTAATTTTACTATGCTTGTACGAACTGCCCGCTTATTTACTTATTTGGCAAATGGTGCGTGCTTTGCAAGCGCCTAAGTCGGCAGTGAACGTGTCGTCAGGGCATGTTCAGTGGATTTAAGAACGCGTGTTTAGAGTCTATTTAGCTGCATGCGATTATTTTATTTATAGCCAGTGTACCTGCCCATAACATTATCAATTCAGTATAGCCTATGCCTTATAGGCACAAAAATGGGTTCCAACCAAAAAATAATCTCCTAAAATAATTATATTTCTTAGTTGTAGATGAATGAAAATTAGTCTAAAAGCGAGACACCAGATTCCCGTTTATTTTCCTTTTTTGTACCATAATTAAATATTTCCTTTTTAACTAATTTTCTTGTTCCCTGAAGATAAATTATGCCTAACGAGTTCTCGTTTCGAAGCTTGTATTACATTAGTGTTAGGTTAGGAACGTGAGGTTATGGTAGGTAAAGACAACACGAACGGTCAAACAAGGGGTGCTACATTTCTAAGAATCAGGCATTAACAAACCATTACGAACAAAGGGTAGATACAGTGCGTTATTTTATTTTAAATTATTCTATCGATGTAATGCTCAAAAATATAGACCTCAGAATACCCAATTAAGCCCGAAGGAATTAAATAATTTTGACCTACTTTGCACCTACGTTTGTTCTATCCCTTAGGGAATTCAATTAAGTATACTCATGTCTACGTCTCTGTATATTGAGCAGTAGGGGGCACTCTCATCAGCGTATCCCTTGTTCCTAGTGATCCATTTCCTTGGTTAGAAACTCCAACCCCCCTTGATTAAAATAGGTATTTAAATATTTTTTTTTGCTGCCACCATCTTATTCAATTAACTTATATAATTTAGTGGTGGAAAATGTTTACACAAATGGACTCATTATTTTCGGTGAAATTTTGTCTTTTTAGTACAGTTCACGTTAAAGTTCACTTTATATAGTAATAATATCTAGAAATTGTGCTAAAATTTATTACACAAAATATAATAGGAGTACGTACCTATTTAATTTTCGAATCCAGTAATTAAGAAGGTTTAAGGAAAAATAATATGCAACGTTCATTATAAAAAAATGGTTTATTTAAAAACCTCCTTTAGTCAGTACAATGTAAAAGGAATATATAAAATTACTATTTACAACGTTCGGAAAGTACGATTAGAAAAAAAGGCACTGGCTTCGGTAACTAGTAACATTACATACATTTTCATAAATTTAAGTACACATTTCAGCATGCATACAGCCACTAACACCTAAAATGTAACATTATCAACAAGTAACTCTATTCAATTTAAAACAGTCTTAGATAATATTCCTCGAGGGGACATTTTATACGTACGTTCACATTTTGAATAGACTAAAGCCATGAGACAACACAGCTTAAGAAAGTTCAATTTATCATTTTGTACATAAGTAAGTATGCATAGTAATAATATATATAGCGTTAAAAATTAAATCGAGATCTAACGAAATTTTTATCCAATTCACGAATCATTTATTATTTTTTTCTTATATTTAACAGTCTTCAACTAAAATAAGTACTGCCTCAAAAACTACGTACAGAATTTTGATTCATGCTTTTGATTATCGACTACACGTTATTATTGAACTTCCTTCAGACAATTTTCTGCTATCAGCTACATAGGTATATACAATAAGTAAAAAAATACATAACAACATATGTACATTATTGACTAGACAACAGTAATAAAGATTGTAAAACAAACAACCTCAAAAAGTCGACGACATATCACTATAGAATGGAATGAATAAGGCACTGGATAAAATCTCTACGGACGATGATCGATGATGTCAAGTTTTTACCTGAAAACAATTGTTAATATTCACTGAGCCATCGTCAAAGTGACAACTGAAATATTTTTATCTTCCTGAGGGAGAAGGAAAGAAAGAAAGCAAAACTGGTCTTAAATTTACTTTTGACATAGGAATGTTTCACGTGTGGCTTTTTTCTCTTTTTTATTGTTAGTACGTATCCACCGGCCAAACAAAACATTATCGCGTAACAATATACCTAACATTTACAACAATGTTACCTTTATTCTTTTGTCATTTGCCATAACCGTTGGGATAGGGCAGTAGTAAGAACAAACCCGTTTCAAACCGGATCGAAGAAAAATAATTAATTCACAGCAATAACTTGTTTTTTCACATAGCTTTTTATTTTAGCAAACGCATTACAACAAAAACTACATGGAGAAATGACAAAACTAGATGGAGTACCTACTCATTAGAAATTGAACTAGTCTGACAACGACCATGTAGGGAATGGAATTTACGCGATTCCACGACATTCTTAATTATTACATTATTATACAAATAATAGAACCAACTTCGAAGAAAAAAAGAAATCTTTGAGCAACAAAAACCACAACTTTTGTATACACATTTTTATCTAGATCGCATTCTTTCTGTCGAAATGTCACCTAACATTAATGATCCCCGAGCAAACGACCTTTCGAGCAAAGGTACGCACGCACACACACACACATAGGCCCATGAGTTCGTTTTTGTTTAATTTAGTCGTGGAGAGTCTTTCTTAAGACCCCACATTTTATGGCAGTCCTTTTAAATCTTCGACACAAAAACGCTATGCTATAGACCCTACCGAATACGCACTAAAAGAAATCTCTCGCTAAAGGAAATCCATTCAAGTAAAACGATTCCTGTCTGAATTATTGTGCCAGGTAGTAAAGAAAAGACCAGTATTATTATTGGGCAGGTACCTACCTACCAGAGGAAAAGAGGGCGATCTTCTCCCGTGTCGCGATTAGATACGAAATTTAAAATAGACAACGCACAAAAAAAAAAAACTGTTTCGATCAGGAAAGGAAGGAAAAAATTAACCATTGCACCTAGTAATTTATTTTTTGTGGTACTTACGTTGTTTGTTATTCGCTTTCTTGCCAATAAAATATCGCGTCTAGAAGTTCATCATCTTCAGGACTTTTCGTATCGAAATTGTCAAAGGTGGGATGCTTGTAGATCGTGGTTTGTATGTAATTCGATCCCGAGGATCCGTCTGACGTGTGTGAAGGCGTTGGAGAAGCCGACGCTACCGAAGACGGAGGCGTGGGCAAAAGTGTCATGTACGGATTGAACTGTTGATTTCCGGAGTCCGGACTTCCCGGAAAGAGTCTATTTTCTTGCAAAACGTTCTCGTTCACCACCACAGGCGACGGATGATGAACTACACTCGCCGAAGACGGAGACGTTTTAATAACGTCGCTCTCACTTTCCTCCAGCATTTCCTTCAAACTTCGAATGTATTCGACTGCGAGACGCAATGTCTCGACTTTGCTCAGTTTTTTGTGAGCGCCGCGCGTATTCCCGTGGGAATTTTGTGGGCTCAATGCAGACACTACACTGATAGGAATATGTTGACGTAAAGTCGCGAAACCGTTATTGACTTGCTTCACTCTGTTTCGTTCCCTGGCATTCCTTCGTGCAACAGAAGCCGACTGTTGAGGGCTACTGTTATAGGGCATGAACTGAATTTTCCGTTTGCAACCGGAATTTGTCACAAGGGTAGTTGCGTTATTACGTTCCGGAGCCGGTGCCAACGGTCTCTTGTTCTGTATTACCGTTTTCAACGAGGGTTGTTGAAGATTAGATGCGGAAACGATAACGCAATTCGCGGCGTCGGTGTGATGGACTATGTTGTACATCCTGTTCTCCTGATGCGCAAGAGTCATAGTCTGGACGGCTGCCATAAACCGAAACGCAAAAATTGGTTATGAATAGGGAGATTGTCGAAAAAAACACGTCGCAGTAAGGACCAAGTAGTTAAGTAATATGGTAGTCGTCTGAGTCGACGCGTATCACTTGATAGCCAAAGTGGCAATGGTGACTTAAGTGGTGCCTCGATGGCATTTGTAACTGCGCTACGTTCATCCCCACCACGGGCAGCCCGTGGCAGTATCGGCAACGGCCGAGGGGGGTGGTGTGAGCGGTGCCGAAGGGAGGAAAGCGCGTGCCGTGGACGCGAGGCGCATGCCGAAGGAGCGTCCGGCAAAGAAGGGAGAGAGTTTCGCGATGCAACGGCGCGGCGCGGCGCGGCGCAACGCGGCGTATAGGGCGAGTGGCGGCGCGGCGACTCTTGTTGTGTACTCTTTGGCCCTGCTGGCAAATGGCACCCGCCCGGAAGCTGCGGGCCCTCAAACAGCCGCCGACGAATGGATCAGTTGCGACCGCTGCGTCGTCGCTACCGCATCGCTTACTTCTCTTACAATAATTCCTTTACATTAATTGGACCCCACAGTCGAACTTGTTACACTTTTTCCACAAATTTTCCTTAAGTTGTCTTCCAAATCTCGAAAATTGAAGGAAATCCTTTAAAGGTGCACTCGATTGTTGGAGAATAATCGGAATGTAGACGTTCGTGGAGCATTAACAATATTTTCCCATTTTTTTTTAATAAATTTTCATCGTATTTTCCCACTTTTCTTATAAATTATTCTCTGTATAGATTATTTTCTAAAATTATTTATTATCTTTTGTCTTATTTTCCCAACTTTGTGCCTAAAACTTGAAATGTTTCAGGCAGCCAGTAAAAGTAGAATTGAAGGCTTGAAGGACGACGGTAAAAGCTTGCTAGTAAAGCTTGAAGCTTTTCTCATAATTTTCAAGAAATACATTCAATTTTTTGTCAATATCTATAGAAGTATCTCACACTACAAATAAAGTAATCTTTAATGATTCTCAAATCAGTCAGAATATCTTTCATGCTCTTACACTAACTATAGGTATAATTCCTATGCTCAGATCTTCACGAATCCCTCAAGATAACAATTTTACATGTAAATTACTCACCTAGATATCCTAACTCTTCAATTACAATATAAACAAGATCTATATATATGTTACTATCTGTACCTATCATCCCTAATATTCTTGAAAATTGAACCTGTTTCTCCTATATCAGTTTTTTTTGCTGCCTTGTTCTTCATATCCTTTTGTAAATTATGATTTTTATCTTATTTTGATGCAGTTACCAAACATTTTGACTTCTGTTTTAAATTTATTATGCTTTTTTGTTGATCTTCATTTTCTTCAGTTGATTTTCGCAAGGTGTAACCAGCGGCCCAGTTGGTACTTACCATTTACAGGATGCAAAGCAGACGGCGGGTGGCACCGGCCCATACATTTATTTCATGTGGTAGCCACCATAATAAGAACCCTGGTTCGGGTCAGTGGTCGTACCTTTTTTTTATTCTATTGCAAAAAAGGCCGCTTATTGAAAAATGCACTTTCAAAAATCGGAAGTCGTGGGATCACTTCAAAACCAGATCCTTTAAGCCACTGTAATAGCGGCAATTTTACAAAGCTTTGCACTGAACCACACACTTGAGAACTACCGACCCGAACTTTACAGTAAAAATAGCTTGTGAATGAAAACTTTTTCAGTTTCCACATTTGGAGGAGAATGATTATCTAAGTGATAGACAAGAAAAATTGGTGTTGGAATCGTAGTTTTGTTTCAAGTTGTATTAGTAAAATTCTGCTGCCTTTAATTCACTCATTGGGTTCACATATCAAATGGATCTTACATGTTCGATATTCGGAGGTTTCGTTATAGAAATTTAGACTGTATATTAAAAAGATTACAAATGATAATATTTCTACAAGCAGCATCCTTTAATGTTGAAGAGAAGATTGCATTGTGACTGACAACAGGGACCGATGTTAATTAATGACGGTTTCGAGAGGTCAAGGTCCTCAGGCGTGTTAGTGCCGACTGTATAAAGAATATTATCGAGGGGTTGCAGCGCCAACCGGTTGAATACGAACGGGGGATGATGTAGCTAATCAAACAGATTTTATGAAAAGGGTTGGGTAGTACTACCTCCCTACGTATTCTACCTACCTACCTACCCACCATACTCGTCCTACTACTGCGGCAGCTTTTCAAGAACTCCAGACTACGATCCTTTATTATATTCAGCCGACGGCGGCTTAGACGTTTCATAAATTATTAATAAATTGCCACGCAACTATATCTAATAACCGATAAAAAATCCAATCTGGAATTTCATCTAAAAATATTGGACTTACAACGAATAGGTATAGTGAACACGGAATATTCTACCAACTCGTTTAGGTATTTTTGTAAAATAACAACCGCATATTTTTATTAAATTTTAAAATCTAGTGCTAAAGAAGAAAGATTGTAATGATAAAATTTTTTGAAATTTCGTTACATTCAAGAAGTATTCCAAATTATAGACTGACAAAGATGTGAAAATTTCACATTTACTCAATATAATAGTTCGTAATGTAATATTCTTATGTTAATGTTTTTTTATTAATAAAATTGTACTGTTGCTTATCATTTATATATTATATTCAATACCGTTTGCAGTTGATCTGTCGTTACTAAATGTTTGATGTCGATAATTACGTATATTAAATCGAAATATTTAATTTTTTCACAGATTGTTGGTATTATTACCAAGTCATGTATGTATGTTCAAATAGCGTCGCTTTCTTATTAGTCGGTCACTCAGTGAGTGCTATCATTAGGTATACCTGTGCAATCATGATTAACGTTCTTCCTCCATTAGCGTAGCGATATTTTTAAAATATGGATTAATAAACTAGCGAGCTGAAACTTGATTTATTAATTAGCTACGGCTACTGCAAAACTTGTTATTAGGTGGTTGTGTAATTTAAAACGGTCTATTATCATTCATTGGTAAGATATTTACAACAAGTCGCATCACTATTATTTATAATTCAATTAAAATATGCAATTATTTAATGTTACTGCTAAGTACGCTGGTTAAAATTTGATAATTTGGAATACTGACATTATATAAACAAAAAAGTCAACAGCTACAATTTGTGTGCTGTAAAACTTCCGAGTACAGCTTTTTCGAAAATTGACTCACTTCGTTCGTGTTGTCTTTTCCTTCCAGAAGAAAATATGAGGCTAGGCCAAGAATAGGAAATATATTCGAGAAGAAAATGAAAATGTGACATCCTACACCATATTATAATAGAACATAAATTATTATTATTGATAATGTACAATCAATATTGTTATTATTATTTCCCATTAACTTCGGACGTATTTCTTAACAAATTGATTCCATTTCTTTTAAGGGAAAATTAATAAATAACTGACTGCTTGTGGTGTAACATAAAACTCAGTTATTGCTGAGTAAACATCGAACCCTGTTTAAAAATTTACTAAATTGATTACCATGAATGTTAAAAGCGAAATAACTCAATTAAAAATTCAACCACGATGCACCCTAGAGTGGCAACGTTCACATCCGCAATGGAGTGGGTCTTCCCTGTAGGCATCGAACTATTAACCCCCCGTAGGAAAATTTCAGAAGTAATAACAGCAGTCGTCGGCTTCCAAAACTTATTATAGGAGCACAAAATTTAATTTCAGGGCGTATTTTAGACATTACCAATAAAATACGCTATAAATGTTAGTTAAATACGACTGCGCCAAGTCACGACGGGACGGGAACTAATGAAGAAAAGAAAATTTCTGGAAATTCTAACCTAATTTTCGTAATAAAATATTAAAATAATAAAATGTATTTGCACTCGTGCTGTAGCAAACATCCACTACCCCCTATTATTCGCAGTTGTTGTGGCAGTTAGCCCGTGGTCACCCAATACCCATTTCAAATGAGAAATCTGGATAAAAACTATGCATGGGTGAAAATGGGTGGTGAAGGAAATCGGCTTTCTCCCTCGCTCTATGCAAGCTGTAAATAGGAAGGAGAGAGATGTCCACTAACACATTCGATTTTCGACAAGCGCTAAAGGATAACGATGTATTTAATGTATTTATCATATAAATCAAAATGACATTCTAAACAAGTTAATTCCGCCGAATGTGTTTCTGAATCTACGTGTATTGTATTATTTATTCAAGTATGTCAAGGTTTTTCATAATAAAGATTGAGAAAATGTTTTTCGGAAGCAAAATCGTGTTGCTTTCCCGCTATCGTGGTTTGAACTCGTACTGATTAATGTGACATATCGTTCAATGTTGGATTCGATTTATAGCTTTCAAGATCGCTTATTTGTTGATAACGAAATAACTTTGTCAAATTGATATTTTTCTTATACGAAGCAATCAAATAAATGTCGAATGTTAAACCGGGCTTAACGAACTTCTTATATATTGAAGCAAAGGCTTATCTTTCGAACAAGACACTGCCAGATATCGGAATCTCTTCCGATTTATTTACAGCGATACGGAACGCCACACAAGGATTTGGCCTCCAAAAATTCAATAATTAAATTCAACTAGTACGAACGAACCTCATCTCAGAACGACTCTGATTATTATTGTCATATAGCAGACGAGGTTGGTGGAGTAAATTATTTTTAATAGTCCCACTTTTAATAATAACAGGAGCACGTAAAGATAAGCTCACATAACGTAAAAGATGTGTTTTAGCAGATTTTGATTTAAACTAATTGTATTGGCGAATTTATCTATACTACGGCATAAAAAGTCTCAAAACACATCAGATATTACCATTTAATTACCATTAATGATTAATAAATCATTAAATCCATATCATGTGACAGACGCGCACGCTCCGAGGTTACACTGACCAAAGAAAGTTTTTTTATGAAATGCTACAAACTGAGCCGTAAACGCCATTTTATCAATATCAATATATATTCAATATTTAATTCGGCTAAATGTAGCATTATACTACAGGTGGCGCTTACTGCCCCGTTTACAGCATTTCATAAAACGCTGTGTCAATATAGCAAGTAGAGTAGGTCTGTGTTCTGTCAAAGCTACCTGCGCGAGCTGATGAGATCCAACAAGATCAAAGAACAG